AGGAGGACACGCCCGACTTAACAGTACTGCTCTTCCTCATCATCTCCAGCTCGCATGATCGAGCCCGCAGGGCGGGAGGCAAGGGGAAATTTCGCACGAAGATGTTGCAGTCGGCGGGTGTTCGAGGCATGGCTTCGACGAGCGCCGGCGCAGCGCGCTGCAAGTCTCTTGGCATCGCTCGGACGTGTGCATTTTTCTTTCGGCGAGAACCATCGAGGAGCATCCTTGATCATGTGGCGAAAAAACCAAGCGACTGCAAGATCTTCTCCAGGCGATGGCAAGTGCTTCTCCAGGCCAACTTGACGTCCCCTGGGGGTCCAAGCGGTCTTACGAGTAGAAGCCACAAGAAGGCCGTTTATGGTCCACGGGGCTCGAAGAGCGTCATGTCTGTGCGCGCCGAACGTCAGCTTCCTTCTGCCGTCTTGAAAGGCCAGCGGATCGCCGCTTGTAACCGATGTGGCGCATAATGCAGGAGGGATGTGACGAATTGAAGCTCCCTTCAGCCGTCTTGAGGGCCAGCGGCCGCCCCTGGAGGTCCATGGGGCATGAAATGCATGAACATTCCCTGGATTGAAGTCCGAAGGAGCCGTCTTTGGGGCCAGCTGAGCCTTCATGAGGCACGAGGTGCTTGGGGTGTGTGCCGAATTGAAGTTCCTAGGTGACTGGGCTGCGAACCCCTTGTGTTGTTACGCGTCTCAGAGGCCTGGGACGCAGAATCTGCGTAAGGGGCGTGCGAAAGTGAGACCTTTGTGGCCCATGCCCCAAGGAGAATTGATGCAACATGGCAGCGCCGGGCTTGCGGGATGCGCGAGTTCGCCCTGCATTCATGCATGCATCTCTTTTCCTCCATCATCCTCCATCTCATCATCGACTTTCGATGTCTAACACGGCTGGGGTCAGCTGGGCGCTCGCCGAATTCAAGCGCGTCCTTCATTCCGCCGACACACATTGCATTATCGTTGCCCTTTGTCCGTGCCGTCGCGGGGAGGTGTGAGTTGTCGGGTCCTGGTCATTTCCACAGGTTGTCGTGTGAAGCTCGCGTTGGTGGAAGCAGTCGCTCGGTAGATGCAGGGCAGTGCGTAGGCCTTCGGTCCATCCCGTTACAGTGCCTGGATTGTTGGTTAGAGGCCTTATGGATGCATGTTCGGATTTCTTGGGATTCGTTCGGGGTGCCTCTTGGAGGGATCTCGTGGGGGCCTGTCGAGGGGGCTACGATGAACCCTTTAGGGAAGCTGATTGGGAACCTCTTGGAGCCTCTTTCGGACCTCCCGAGGGCCTCTTGGAGGCGTCTTGGCGGTCGTTCGAGGCTTCTTGTGGGTATCTCGGGGGCTTGCTGGCGGATGGCTGGAAATACATGTTCGTTCTCGCCTTCTTAGGCCCCTCTTGGAGCCCTCCCGAGCCGTCTTGGAAGGCTATTGGGCCGTCTTGAGGCCCTGTTGGTCCGTTTTGGGGCCTCTTGGCAGCAGTTTGGGCTGTCATGGGGCGATGTTGAGGTTTGTGCCCAACCATCCTGTGGTGTTGGGTCTTCGTTTTGAAGAGACGGTCCCAGCGCCTCCTCCCCTCCTCCGCCTCCCCCTCCTCCCTCCTCCCTTCATCAGCATCATCATCGTCATCGTCATCATCATCGTCCTCATCATCGTCACCATCATTGCCATCAGCTTCGGCATCAGCTTCGGCCTGCCCCCCCACACACACGTTTCGTGGCTCCATAGGGAGCTCCACCGAAGGCCCCAGTGCTGCCGCCCGCATGCGTCCCGCACACCCACTTCGGCATACCCCTCACACGTTTCGTGGCCCCATAGGGAGCTCCACCGAAGGCCCCAGTGCCGCCGCCCGCATGTTTCCCGCACACCCAAGTCGGCACACCCCTCACACGTTTCCTGGCCTCTTAGGGAGTTCCACCGAAGGCCCCAGTTCCGCCGCCCGCATGCGTCCCGCACACCCAATTCGGCACACCCCTCACGCGTTTCGTGGCCCCATAGGGAGCTCCACCGAAGGCCCCAGTGCCGCCGCCCGCAAGCGTCCCGCACACCGAAGTAGGCACACCCCTCACAGGTTCCGTGGCCCCATAGGGACCTCGACCGGAGGCCCCACTGCTGCCGCCCGCATGCGTCCCGCACATCCAATACGGCACACCCTCACATGTTTCGTGGCCCCATAGGGAGCTCCACCGAAGGCCCCAGTGCCTCCGCCCGCATGTTTCCCGCACACCCATGTCGGCACACCCCTCACACGCACTCCACCGAAGGCCCCAATGCGTCCCGGTCGGCGCACCCCTCACAGGTTCCCCCCATAGGGTCCTCTACCGAAGGCCCCAGTGCTGCCGCCCGCATGCGTCCTGGGCCACCCCTCACACGTTTCGTGGCCACACAGGGAGCTCTACCGAAGATCCCAGTGCCGCCGCCCGCATGCGCCCCGCACATCCAATTCGGCACACCCCTGACACGTTTCGTGGCCCCATAGGGAGCTCCACCGAAGGCCCCAGTGTCGCCGCCCGCATGCGCCGCACACCCAATTCGGCACACCCCTCACACGCTTCGTGGCCCCATAGGGAGCTCCACCGAAGGCCCCAGTGCCGCCGCCCGCATGCGTCCCGCACACCCAATTCGGCACACCCCTCACACGTTTCGTGGCCCCATAGGGAGCTCCACCGAACGCCGCCCGCATGCGTCCCGCACACCCAAGTCGGCATACCCCGCACACGTTTCGTGGCCCCATAGGGAGCTCCACTGAAGGCCCCAGTGCCGCCGCCCGCATGCGTCCCGCACACCCACTTCGGCACACCCCTGGCACGTTTCGTGGCCCCATAGGGAGCTCCTTCGAAGGCCCCAGTGGCGGCGCTCACATGCGCATGCGTCCCGCACTCTCAATTCGGCACACATCTCACAGGTTTCGTGGCCTGATAGGGAGCTCCACCGCAGGCCCCATTAGCACCGCCCGCATGCGTCCCGCACACCCAATTCGGCACACCCTCACGCGTTTCGTGGCCCCATAGGGAGCTCCACCGAAGGCCCACTCGGCGGCGCTCGCATGCGTCCCTGCCACACATCCCGGTACACCCCTCACACGCTTCGTGGCCCCATAGAGAGCTCCACGGAAGGCCCCAGTGGCGGCACTTACAAGCGTCTCCGCCACCCATCCCGGGCCCCCCCCCCGCATGTTTCGCGGCCCCACAGGGAACTCCGCTGGAGGCCCCAGTGGCGGCATTCACATGCGTTTCCGCCACCCATGTCGGCACGCCCCGCACGTGTTCGATGGCCCCATAAGGAGCTTCACTGAAAGCCCCTGTGGATCCATCTCGGCTCACCCCTCACACGTTCCGTGGCCCTATTGGGAGTTCCACTCAAGATGAAGCCCACAGCTGCGGTACTCACAACTGCATGTGGTTGGGTTCTTCGCCAGGCCAATTTTGCTGCTGTCCCTTCGGGTGCTCGTGGGATGCTCCAGGGGGGGCCCTGCGGCGGGCGCCCAAGAGTTCGGACATCCCTTGCCGTTTCGGGCTGTTGCTGTTCCTGGAACCTCAAGGGGGCGTCACGCGCGCGCGCGGGGAGGAAGGATGGAGGGAGGAGGATGGAAGAGGGGGAAGCCCGTCACACAGGCCTCGGAACTAATTTGCGAACAGTCATGCCACATTCATCTGTCAAAGGCTCCCCCTCCCCCCAATGTTCAAAGTTGGCGGTGGGTCTGATGAGATGCACTTCGACCGCAGTCTCCCCCGCGCGTGCCAACCGTGAGGTTGGGGGGGAGGGGGAGTGTTCAGTAATTGTTTCCCTTTACCGTCTCATCTTTTAGTTTACCCTCTCATTTGCGAGTTGACCGAGCGATTAGGTGGGTGATGATTTTTGCGACACCATTATGATATATTTTTATAAATACATATGTATACTTCTATGTATAATCTGTATGCATGTTTCCCCATTTTTAGTGTTCTGGCGCCCTGGTCGTCCCACGCCTTATTTGTCACGTATTACTCGTATCACTCGTCCCATCGCTCTTTTTTCACATATTACTCGTATCACTCGTAGAAAGAAAATATGAGAAAAACAAGGGGTGCTGGGACGAGTGATACGAGTAATACGTGAAAAATAGGGTGAGATGCGCGAGGCGCCTCCGGGGGGGGGGGGGCGGTGCCGCTGGGAAGGCGCTAAACATAACAGCATGCAACCGTTTTGGCCGTTTCTTGCTTAGCGCCCGTACGTCGTCGTCGCTGTCAGTCGGCCGCCGCCGAAGTCGAAAAGCAAAGTGTCAAGTTCGATTTACCCCTGTCTGACCCAGTGTGGGGGAAGTCCACGGTTGACAGCTTGATTTTCGTAGTGATTGAAATGGCTCAATCAGTTCGAGTGTAGCCACGTGCCGGGCAACATGCCCACAGGCCTCGGAACAAATTTGCGAACAGTCATGCCACATTCATCTGTCAACGGCTCCCCCTCCCCCAATGAGGGGGGAGGGGGGGTGTTCAGTAATTGTTGCCCTTTCCCGCATTCTCCTCTCGTGTCCCTTCCCCCAGCCTCGTCGCCTCGCTCTTCTTCCCCGTTTCCCTCCGCCCTCTTCCCTTCCCCCCCCATCGCTTCCTCTGGATGCCGCCGAAGCCCACATCAGCAGACCCCTCCCTCCCCCATCCTCCAAGTTCTCGTCGAAGCCCGCGAGGTCCTCGGGAGTCCCCGAGGTTCTCGAAGCCCTCGAAGCCCTCGAAGTCCGCGAAGTCTTCGAAGTCCTCGAAGGCCTCGGTGACGTCGCTCTTCGTTCTTCGCAGGCCTTGAACCAGCGGCAACGTTGGGGGAGGGGTTCGACTCAGGTGGGAACGCATCGACCCCACATCACCCGTTCAGCGCCGATCTGGGCCCACCCCAGGAGCGTATGGTTTGGCTATCGGCGGCCGAGCGCCGATATATTGGTGATGCAACCCGAGTTCCTTATCGAGGTGTACCCCATGTACGTCAGCCCCCCCCAATGTTGCCTCTCAGCCTTGAGGTCCTCCCCCTCCTTTCTCCGCCGCGGAGGTGGGCGCCAACGCCCTGGCCCCCACGCCGACCCAGCTGCTGGGGAACAGGCTCGCGCCCTGGTGTGCGACAGGGAGGAGTTCGTCCATACGAGGGAAGGGGATGGAGGAGGAGGAGGAGGAGGAGGAGGAGGAGGAGGAGGAAGACAGGAACATGAGCTTAAGGATGGATGACAGGGCGGGCGAGGTGGGATCGCACGCCACTGAGGAAGGGAGACGAGGGAAGTCCAATGGTTCAGCCAAAAACTTCAGGGGGGGGCATCGGAGAGGACCTTTGTGCCACCAGCCCGGTCCTGCGCCAACCGTACCGTGGGCCAGCGGCAGGGGCCTCTTAGAGAAAAAGAACCCCCCCGTCCCCATCGCCCGTGAACCCGTGAACCCACGAGCAGCTTGCCAAGACGCATGCTTTTTGCAATTGATGTCCATATCAATCTGATCCCCAGATCTTGGGGGAGCGCTCGTGTGAGAGGCCGGCCACGTCTGCAATGGGGAAATTCTGTACATTCCCGAGCCTTGGAAGTCTCAGGGGGGAACCCCGACAGGCTCCAGGAGCTCATAGGGAACGAAGTGCAATGGCATGTTGCCGTCACAAGATGGTGCAAGTAGAAATGTGTTGCTTGTTTCCTCCTCTCCTTCCTCCCTCCTCCCTCCCTCCCTCCCTCCCTCCCTCCCTCCCTCCTTCCTCCCCTCCTCGCCGCGGATTGCCCTCAGGTCAACGCATCTCCTCCCATTCGGCACAAAGTTTGCCAATGGTGTGCACCCGAGCTGCCTGCAGCGCAGTCCATCATTGTAGCTACTTCTGCATGTGCCTAGCTACGCCATCACCTGCCGCAGTTCTCTTTGCCAGTGCGCCGTCTGGGCGCGGCTTCTCTGTCTGTCTGCCCGTCGTCCCCATCAAAGTCGAGCAGGTCACCCTGACCCTTTCCGGAAGAAGGAGGAGGAGGAGGAGGAGGAGGAGGAGGAGAGGTGGAGGTGGAGGGGGAGGAGGAGGAGGAGGAAAAGGAGGAGGAGGAGGAGGAGGAGGAGGAGGACCGTCCGTGCCCCTCCTCCTGGGCCCCGCTGCACCCGTGCCGGACCCCTGGGACGGCCCGGAGGTTCTACGTGCCCAGCGACGCCGTCGGAGCGGCCTGGCGGGGGACGTCGGCGGACCGCGCGCCCGCGCGCGCGTCGCCGGCGGCGGCCACTGGCCTGCGCAGCCTGTAGTGGGGCGGAGCCTCCCAGCCTTCGCGCAGTGGCGGAGCGTCCTGGCTTTCAGATAGGCCCACCTAACGGTTTTTCATTGACCTTGTGGCCTGTGCGGCACATTCTCTCAAAAGTTAGCACTTCTTGCCAATACTGTTTCGTTTAGCACATCGGGCTTAAGCTATTGGAGCATTTTTCTCATTAGAACACATGTGGGTTTTATGGACATTCCGCAGTAGGCCTATAGGATTGCCGGGACGGTCGGTCCCTGCTCAAAGCCTCCTCCAACTCGTCCCTTCACCTCCTCCCTCCCTATTTTATATTAGACGTAAGAGTGAATTGTCGCTGGAGTGTCATTTGGTGCGGGTCCAGTGGGTCCCCCGATCGCCGAAGGTTACGCGACAGTAGCGTCTTGCGCGCTTGAGTTTGGGCCCCCCGCGGCCCCCCAAGAGCCGCGCAGCGTGTAGCCGATTCATACACTATGTATTGAGCCCGCCTGCCCTGGGTTTCTGGAAGGCTCTCTGAGCAGTACTGTTGTGCAGGTTGCCTTCCGTGAGAGTTCAGCTTCCGCCTCCAGCAGAATCCAGGGACTCTCTCGGGTCAGTTGCGCCCCGTGCTCCCAACGGCGCAGGCTTGTAGGCGTCCTGAAATCCGAGCACAAAACGTAAAGTCCTTCACCAATTTGGTGCTCTACGCTGTCACACGCCCACATTCACACTGTCATCCTCCCCATTCCCCGAAAGATCCGAGGCTCCGAACGAAATGGAGCGGCCGGTGAGTGGCCGCTTTGGGCCTCGGAGGGCCCTCCGCATGCCCTTGCATCGTCCGAAGACGACTCGGGACGAACACCAGCCTCAGAGAAGCGGGGCTGGACCTAAGCGCCGTTTTGCTCGGCTCTGGCCGTGTTTTGCGTTTCGTGCTGGCAGGGAGGCACAGGAAACCAGGTAACTAGAGCAAAACGCAACACACACACAAAACGAAGACAAAACACGAAACACAGCGTTTGGGTCCAGCCTAACAGTGGCGGCCCAAACCTCCGGGGACCCCCTGCGGCCACGCAACGAAAACATGGGAGCGCGCGGGTGTTTGTGTCTAAATCGGGCCTGTCCCCCTACAGGAGGAATATAAAAAATAGTCAAACAATCCTATAGGGACGTTTTTCCAATTACTTTTGACCATTTGGATTGTTTCTGCGATTATTTCTCATTTTTCATGTGAAATCCCCCTGTAGAAGGACATGCCCGACCTCAGTCTCCCTTGGTCCTCCTTGTCCTCGGGCATCCCTGCCGACGGTCCACCAACGCGAGGCCGTGCGATTCTCACGCTGGCGGGCCGGGCTGCGGTGCAGAATTGTCGACACTCTGCCCGCGCTCGAGGGCCACGCAGGGCGCAGGGGGCACTCCACATCGGGCAAGCACTGCCCTCAGATGTGAAGACCAAGGCACTGAGACCCATTGCCCCCCCCCAAGCATTTTATCCATCCATCCATCCAAACATCCTCCATCTCCTCCTCCTCCTCCTCCTCCTCCTCCTCCTTTCTCAAAGCTGCATGAGCATAGACATGGTCGGCTGATTGGACCAGATCATGTGCTGTTGTGAAACTGTTTTTTTGGTGGGGGGCGAGAGGCGTGGTTGACATATGTTTTTTCCCAACCATCCTGTGTTGTAGGGTCTTCGTTTTGAAGAGACAGTCATCGCGTCTCCTCCTCTGCTCTCCTCCTCATCATCCTCCTCCTCCCTCCGCCCCTCCCTCCTCCCACCCCAACCTCTGCCCCCTGCGTGCGAACTAGTTCGGCACTCCCGTCACCCTCCTCACTTTGGCACCCCTCACACGCTTCCTGGCAACAAAGAGACAGCCACCGAAGGCCCCAGTGACAGGGTCCGCATGCCGCCCCACATCCACATTTGACACACCTCTCACACGTCTCGTGGCCCCATGAGAGCTCCCCCGAAAGCCCCCGTGGCATGGTTCGCATGCCGCCCCCCCCCCCCCCCCCGTTTTGGCGTACCCCTGACACGTTTCGTGGCCCCATAGGGAGAACCACCGAAAGCCCCAGTGGCATGGTTCGCGTGCCGCCCCCCCCCCACTGTGGGACACCCCTCGCACGTTTCGTGGCCCCATAGGGAGCTCCCCCGAAAGCCCCCGTGGCATGGTTCGCCTGCCGCCCCCCCCCCCCCACTTTGGCACACCCCTCACGCGCATCGTGGCCCCATAGGGAGTTCCACTGGAAGCCCCCTGTGGCATGGCCCGCATGCCGCACCACTTCCACTTTTGGCACACCCTCACACTTTTCGAGGTCCCATCGGGAGAACCACCGAAAGCCCCAGTGGCATGGTTCGCGTGCCGCCCCCCCTCCACTGTGGGACACCCCTCGCACGCTTCGTGGCCCCATAGGGAGCTCCCCCGAAAGCCCCCGTGGCATGGTCCGCATTCCCCCCCGTCCAAGTTGGGACACCCCTCGCACGTTTCACGGCCCTGCACATGCTCCATCAACGGCCCCAATGGCAGGGTCCGCATGTTGCCCCCCCTTCATTTTGGCACAGCCTTCGCACATTTCTTTGCTCCATGGGGAGCTCCACCAAATGCTCCTGCGGCATGGTTCGCAAGCCCCCCCCCTCCACGTTATCCTACCCTTGACAAGCTTCGTGGCCCATAGGGAGCTACACCGAAGGACCCAGTGGCATGGTTCGTATGCCGCCCCCTTATCTATCGTTTACGCTTGGCGAATCCCAGCCAGCCCATTCAGGAGCCCTGCCCACGAGAGTTGACGGGAAATGGAAATCATAGACGCGTCTGGTGAAACTGAGCGGTCATAGAGAGGAGGGGGAGGAGGAGGAGGAGGAGGAGGAGGAGGAGGAGGACGAGGAACGTGTTGAGCCATGAGGCTTCTTGGAGCTATTAGGTTTTTCGGGGGCGTTTGGGGTCCGCTTGGGGTTCGTTTGGAGTACCTGGGGCCCTCTTAGGGCTCTTTGGGGGGGGTGTCCTCTTGAGGTTTTTTGGGGGCGCGCTGGGGCCTCATGGGGCCCTATTGGGGCACCCCACGGGCCCCCGTGCTTGAGCCAGTACCAGAGCGCCATCCTGTACCTGGCATGGACGCCCCTTTGTCTGATGATGATGGTGATGATGATGATGATGATCAGAACAGGAAAAAACATATAAACACAAAAGGGTTGTATTGGTTTTACGGCGGAAAGGGGCGTCGTTGAGAGGGTGCCTGGGCACGGATGCGGGGATCGGGGCGGCGTCGGTGTTTGGAGCTGGCGGTTTGCGTGGCAAGTGCGTTTAGCTGGTCGCATGTGTTCGGGGCGCGTGACGGGTGGAAAGGCCGCCCACCAGCAGTTGGCAGTCCTCTGCCCGCGGGCCAGAACAGATCGTCGCGCGCTCGCAACGGGGTGTGGGAAAGGGGGTTTGGGAAGACAGCGCGAGTCTCATTCCCAAGAAGTCCCTTCGATTGGCAGCAAACAAGTATTTTTTCCATTCATTACCCGCACGGCCAATCGAACGAACGAACCACTGTTTCGGCGCGCAGTGTTAGCTTCGCTTGCTCGCATCCAGGCTTCCTTCGTTGCTTCCTTCGTTTTTTGTTCGCCCTCCTCTTGTTTCTCTTCTTCCCCTGTTTTGCCTTGTCCCGCCCCCCTTCCTTTCCAGCTCGGAGCTGTCACCGCGCGCGAAGAGCGCAACCCAAAGTGGGTTGCTGTAGTTCCTTTGTGTGCCACGAAGTCTCGTGCAATTCCTTTGGGCGCGGTCCGGTTACACGCCAACGCGGGGGGCACACAAAGGAATTTCCTTTGTGCACGATCGTTTTCGCCGCCCCCACAAGAGCACGCGCGATTCCTTTGTGTAGAGCTTGGTTTCCCGCCTCGAGGGGCGCACGGGGCCTGGCGCTACAATCGCAAGGCCGCGGCGCCCAGTAGTGCGATGCCGCTGCGCCGGGTACCACGCCCAGAACGATCCTACGCGGATTTCGGCTTTCTGCCGAAATCGCACTGGCAGCTGGCCAGCAACATCGCCGACCCTGCATGCCCGCGCGCGCTACTGCGTTCTGCTGCCGCGACGCGTGCTGCTGTCAACGGATGAACAAACTGACGTTGCACGATGGTTTGGCTGCGCCAAACCACCATGGCATGTTTGTTGGTAGCGGACCTTCGGATCTTGTCGCGGCCGACAGCCTTGCCACACCATGCATGTCAACTGCGTCCAATAGCACGGCCGTGCATCAACCATGGCTCGGATCGCTTGGGATCCAGTGGCATGTCTGCACATGCGTCGCACCGCTGGTGGTGCCAAAACCCTTTGTGTGAAATTCCTTTGTGTTTTTTTGTTCCTACATGCTGCTGATGATGATTATGATGATGATTATGATGATGATGATGCTGATGATGCGGTTCGAGCTGGTGAGGTCGATCGCGGTAATGGACAGACCGGACCTACCACTCCTCCTCCGAGATCTTCCGAGACTGACGAGTTTCCGCCTGACTCCCCAGGCGACGGGCTTGGGCGGGCGCTGCGAGGCGGTAGACAGGAGGGCCCATGTCTGGAGCCCACCTGGTGGAGTAAGACTTGGGCACCGCTCCCCACGCCTGAATCAGCAACGCATGGCTGGCCGGCAAGCCCAGAGGGAAGGGGATGAAGCTCATGAGCCTCGCCAAGACGGGAGAGACTCCAGTTCGATGCGAACGTGGCCAAGCTGCGGGGGCATCTGGCGAAACAGCAGGGCAAAGACCGCGGTCGCGGGCGACGCGGCCCAGGAGTTGTAGGGCATGGTCGAGGCGATGCCATCGAGATGGGCCCATGCGAGTCAGAGCGAGTACGACCCGAAGCTACCCCTGAAAGGCGAAGTCCTGACTGGTCGCGGTCAGCTGCTGCGAGTGGGTTCGTGCGAGGATGGACTCCCCTACTTCGCCCCCGCTGGTGTTCCACGAGATCTGTAGCACGGTGGCCAGGAAGCACCGGCCCATTTTCAAGTTCGACTCTACGAGTGCGTAACTCCAGGGGGATGACGTTGACCGAATGTTGGTGCTGCGACCTCCTGCACCCCTGCCACCTGGAGGTCAAGTTGACGCGACGTTCGTCTGTCATGGCGCTATCTGCGACGCCGAGGACGCCAGTTGGACGTGGTGGAGTACGCTACGGGGGACGCTGCGCAGCCACTCATGGCAGGAGAGCCGTCTGGAGAGGGCCTGTGACCCTCCTGCTCGAAAGTGGCAACTTGTCGGGCTCGTTGGCACGCACGTGGGCGACCTCTTCGCAACTGGCGACTCCGACAGCGACCTGTGCAATAATGCGATGGACGAACTCAAGAAGTTACTGCTACTCACTGAGCGGAAGCCGCCCTTCCGGTACTGCGGCAAGGACGTCGGGCAGCTCGAGGACTACACGACCAAGATTCGAATGGCGCTTTTCAGACCAGATGGAGACTATCGTGTTGCCCCCGGCCAGAGCGAAGCAGATCATGGCGTTGGCCGCGGATGAGGAACAGAGCATCGCAGAGTCGGTCGTCGGTTCATTCAGACGGTGTCCACGGCAACTTCGCATGGGCGTCTCCTTCGGCCACAGTTGGCTTGCGCAGCAGAAGAACCGAGCGACCGTGCAGCACATGCTGGAGATGAACTTGAACAGGCTGGCTCGCCACTGCCAGGAGACGCGTGACGCGCGCCTCCGGAGCGACATTCTACGACAAGATCACGGGATAACGGATGGAGCTGAAGCGCTGGAGTGGATCAGGTCAGTGCACTACGAAATGCAGAAACCAGATGAGCCATTGGGCGACCATGTCGGCGACGCGGTGGCCCCCATCCCAGCCGAATTGTTCGACGATGCCAACCGCCCGGTGACCCGCCTACTCGCGGATGCTGGCCAGACCGCAGATCGTCGAGCACGAGTGGTCGTCGCAGCCCTGCGGGAGATGCCATCGCGAGATGCGGTGCGACACGTCGGCTCAGCTGGCGGATGCGTTGACGATCTTGGAAACTGAGCGAGGCTACCAGACGAGGGCGATGATGGACGGCCACGCGAGTGCGAAGGTCTCCGCCTTTGCAGCCTCCGCGAAGGAGGCAGCGACGATGGCGCCGCCAGCGCGCAGATGAGCGTCGAGCCCGCGACGCCCAGCGCAGAACCGCCTTAAAACTGGAGCACGACGCACAGCATGGCTCATTGACTTCGTAGTTTGGGGCTTCCGCCCTCCCTCCGCGGCGCCTCCGCGCCGCTGCGCGCGGCGTGCTTCTGGGCGTCGGTTCGACGATCCGCCAGTAGATTCCTGGAGCAATGTTGCCAGATGATCGAGGACGGGCGTTGAAGCGGCCCAGCGATCGCTCCCCCTCTTAGCCCGCCTGCACCGCTGCCCGCTCTCACCCGCTCGAACATATCATTTTGGTCCGCGGATCTCTTGAGTTTGCGGCCGCGGAGGACCTGCGAGGCCCCCGGCTGGCGGCGGCGCGCCACTTGACCCTCGCGCCTCTTCCTATCCGCGCCTTTGCCCTCCGCGCCATCCAACCTTGTCGGCGCGCCTCCATCGCGCGCTTCGCGGCCCCATAAGGAGCTCCACCGGGGGCCCCAGCAGCGGCCGTCGAACGCGCCCCCCCCCCGCCCAGCGCCGCTTTTCGCGGCCCCGCAGGGGGGCTCCACCGAAAGCCTCAGCGGCGGTGGTCGCACGGCGTTTCGCGGCCCCATAGGAAGGCACAACGGAGGCCCCAATGGCGGCGCTCGCATGCGCGCCCCCTCCCCCCCCGCCACACCCACTACAGCGTGTCATAGCCGTTTCCACCGCAGGCGGCGGCGTTCGCGCGCGCCCCCCCCACCCAGGACTGCGCTTGGCGGCCGGAGAGGGAGCTCCAACGAAGGCCCCGCTGGCGGCGTTCGCACGCGCACCCCCCGCCCAGCAAAACCCCCAGGAGGCCCCGGCGGCGGCGTTCGCACCCACCCCCCCCGGCCAGCGCAGCGTTTTGCGCGGCTCCATGGCGGGCCTCGCGTGAACAGTGGGAATCCGACCCCAGCCCCCGCAAGTATGGATTTTACATGTCAGCGTTTTGCATATCTGGCGAACGCGCGCAAGCGTCGTCGCCCTGTCGGCGAGGCCCCTGCCAGCTGCCGCAGGGGGGGGCCCGCGCGCGCGGCGACGCCCCGGGCCCAGCCGACGCGGCAGCGCCCGCGCCGGCATTCTCAGGGTCGCACGTGCCACGTCCGCGGCGTGACGTATGAGGCGACGGCGGCGCTGTCCTTCGCGCGGCAGCGCCGCTTGCCCAGCCGAGAGCACCCGCCCCCGCCTCCGCCGCCCCCCTCGCAACCCGTCGATGGACAAGTTTACATCGGGAGCGTTTCTTGTGAGGCAAGTGTTTCATTGTACCTTTGGGTGCGTTCACACATGCGCAATATTATGTATGTATATGGATATAAGTATGTAATGTATGTGTATATATACATATATATATATATGTACATGTATATGTATACATAAATGTGTAAATATATAAACGCACATATATATATATATGTGTGCGTGCGTGTGTGCACTTTTTGAAGCGATCCCGCGCGATATTGTTCGGTCCAGAGAAGTTTCGAATGATTTTATAAGGAGTTTATAGATTTTGTTTTGCTTGATGCCTGGACTTTATTTCCTGGGTGGATCTTAACTTTTCGATGCGCGCCCTCCCGGGGCGGGCCCCAGGCGCCGTCCCGGGCTCTTGCCAGCGCCGCCATGGGCCGACGCGCCCTGCGGTTTTGGCCCTGGCGCGGGCGCGCGAACATCCACAATGACTTCGGGTATTGACCGCGCGCCAACACAAGGCAACGCCAAACTCAAACGCCACTGATCATAGCAGCGGCGCGCCGTTCGTATTGATTTGCGTTGCCGTTGGCTGACCGTTGAGCTGTTTCCGCTTGCAGTTCGCGCGTCGTTTGATGGTCCAATTTGTCTAGAGTTCCTCATGTGGGGGGCGGGGGTCGTTTTTCATGCGCTCATCGCGACAAGCTTCGGCGACGGCGTTCACATGCGTCTCCCCCGCCCAGTGCAGCAATTCGTGGCCACATAGGGAGATCCACCGAAGGCCCCTCAGTGGCGGCGTTCACCTGCGTCTCCCCCGCCCAATACAGCGCTTCGTGGCCCCATGAGAAGTTGGGAGTTCCACCGACGGCCCCAGTGGCGGAGTTCGCATGCGTCTCCCCCACCCAGTACAATGTTTCGTGGCCCCATAAGGAACTCCACCGAAAGCTCCAGTGGCGGTGTTCGCACGCGTCGCCCCCACCCAATACAACGTTCCGTAGCCCAAAGGGATCTCCACCGAAAACTCCAGTGGCGGTGTTCGCATGCGTCTCCCCCACCCAGTACAGCGCTTCGTGGCCGCATAGGGAGGCACCGAAGGCCCCAGTGGCGGCCCCGCCCCATTGCTGCACACCCCTCGCACGTTTCGCAGCCCCACAGCGGTTTCCAATTAAAAACCCAAAAGACAGCGCCCACATGGCGGCCCCGCCCCATATCGGCGCACCCTTTCGCATGTTGCGTGGCCCCATGAGGAGGTCCCCCGAAGGCGATTCCCGCAACGACGGTATTCACAACTGCATATGGTTGGGTCCTTCGCCCGTGATAATTGAACAAAGCATTTTCCCCGCGCGATGTTCACTGTCTTCTTTACCCATCCCTTCGTCTCCGCGCCGCCTGCGTCAAGTTGCTTCGCCGGGCTGCCATTTGCGCAGCGCTCGCCATTCGACACCTCCTCCTCCTCGTTTTCTTCCTCCTCTCCTCCTCCTATTCCTTTTCCTCGTCATCAGAATCCTCATCCTCATCCTTCTCCTCGTCCTCCTCGTTTTCGTCATCCGCATCCTTCGTTGGAGTTGCATAAGCTTGGTCGTTCGGAGGTCCTCGCGGGTTATTGGATCCGCGCCAGGGTGTGTGTGTGTGTGTGCCCCCCAAAAGGAGACTGCGCGGACCTCCGGCCTTCCATGTCCAGAAGTTCCGTCCTCCGTGCCCTCCCTCCTTGAACATGTGGAACTTTACCACGGTGGGTCACACGAGGGCCCCCGGCCCTGGCCTGAGTGGTCGGGTGGGGCCGCGGTAGATGTTTCGTTTCTGGGCAGGGTGGCATCTATATACATATTCCACCAAAAAACAAAACCCAATCCGTGGATGGTTTTCGCTGAAGAGATCGACCAGCAACCCGGGAACCCGGAACCCACCGAAATCGGCCCGGAACCACTAACCGGGAACCCGGGAACCTGGAACCCGGGAACCCAGCCTGCTACCAAAATCGGCGGGGATCGTTCGCCAAATCTTTCAATTTCCGCTAGGACCCTTTCAGTGAAAGCACGAATTGGGGAATGTGCATATATATATATATATATATATATATACATATACATACATACATACATACATACATACGTACGTACGTACATACATACATACATACATACATGCATGCATGCATGCATACATACATATATATATACGAACATATATACATGTATAAATATATACATATATACACCTGTGCGTATGTTGCCAAAACTGCTATCATGGAGCACCTGGCAGCGGCCAGTCGGCAGCCAGAGAGCGACCGCGAAGTGGCTCTCACCGCTGGCACCACCGCGCTGCACCAGCGGGCCAACCACCTTGCCCACAGTCTCAACAGCACATCCAGGAACAGTCTGTGCGTTAGACAGGTTGCACCGCACACAAGCTGCCTGGGTCGGCCTCCAGCAGGCATTCCAGCCTGCCGTTTCCCTCGGGGCGCCCCTCCAGGACGGCCTCCAGCCTCCCCGTTCTGCTCAGCGCGCGGTGCGCCAGTGCTAGCGCCCTTTCTCTCCTTGTGGGCTCCGCGAAGTGTTGGCTCATGCTCCGCTGCCCTCTTTTTGTCAAGGGTGGAAAAACCACCCGGACTGGACAATTGGCGTTTACGAAGCGGCTTTGGGCGTTTACTAAACAGGGGGCGCTTAGTGAACGGCTTCGCGCACGCCAAAGCGAGCGTGCGGCCGGCGCCACTCTCTGAGCGGGTGTGCAGAAGGGGCGAGTGTCGTCCTTACCACCACCTCCCGCCTGCGCTTTTCAGTTGGGGTCTCCACATACCGCGCCAGGGGTAGGGTAACTACAATGGAGGCCCATGCCAAAAGAAACACCCTGCTTGCCTTCAGGGTGCCCTGGGCTCCTGGGGTCTCGAGGGCTCTGCTATGGAAAGCATGATGTCCCCACAGCAAGAAACCATGGACGTCGTGGGGTCTCAGGGTTGGGTTTCTTATGGAAGGTTCCTTGTGGACTGGCCTCCACCGTAGTTCCCCCGCACCTGATCGTACAAGCGGCACCTCCTGCCACGCGGGCTGGGCGCGGCGGACGCCAGTACCCCGCGCGCCTGGACGACCACTCCACAATATGTTTTGCGAGTTATTGCTATTAATCGCTTCGCTCATTCCGCCGGCCCATATTGTCGCACCGTTGTGGGCTAGCCGAGTTTGGGGGCCTCTTGGGGGCCGTTTTGGGGCCTCTTGGGGCCTCTTTTGGGCCTCTTGGGCGCCTCTTGGGGCGTCTTGGGGGCCTCTTGGGGGCCTCTTGGGGCCTTTTTGGGGCCTCCTGGGCGCCTTCTGGGGCGGAGGGCTCGATTTTTCAGTTCTCGGTTCCCCTCTTGAGCCCCTCTTGGGCCCGTCTTGGGGCCTCTTGGTCCGTCTTGGGCGGCACTTGGGCCGTCTTGGGGGCCCTCCTGGGCCGTTCCGGGGCCGTCTTGGGAGCCTCGTGGGCCGTCTTGGAGCGGTCTTGGGGGCCTCTTGGGCCGTCTTGGAGCGTCCGGAAGCCGAAAAAGCCAGAACGCAAAAAACATCGAAAAAAACAATGAAAATCAACGATTTTGGCCTCTTGGGGCCCTCTTCGGAGGCCTCTTGGAAGGCCCTTGGGGCGTCTTGGAGGCCTCTTGGGCTGTCTTGGGGCCCTGTTGGGCGTCTTCGGGCGATCTTTGGCCGTCTCGGGGCCCTCTTGGACCGTCTTGGAGGCTTCTTGGGGACCTCTTGGCCCGTCCTGGGGCCCTGTAACAGGGCTCCGGCATCTCTGACCCGACCTTGCCGGGACCTTGCCGGGGTACTTTTCGTCCGGGGACCCCCAGGGGCCGCCCCGCGCGCGCGAACTAGAAATACTGTTAACCAGGTACCGGAGATCTTAGCACGCCCTGGCCCGTTGGGCCGGCGAATTATTCTTCATGTTTGTTTTGTTCTCTCTCTCTCTCTCTCTCTATCCGTCTCTCTCTCTCTCTCTCTCTGTGTCGTCATTTAGTTTTTGATGTGTTGTTTGTTATCTCTCTCTATTTCCTCTCACTCTCTGTCTGATGTTCTGTATATTGTCGCTCTCTCTCTCTCTCTCTCGCTCTCTCTTTTGGTCTCTCTCTGTCTCTCTCTCTCTCTCTCTGGTTCCTCCCTTCTAACACTGTCTCTCGCTATCCCTCTCTCTCTATCTCTTGTTCACTGCCCCCCTCGCTCCTTAGGATTTCAACAGGCATGTGACCCATCTCGTTTACCTCCAAGCAGTATTCCGGCAGCCCGATCTCATCTATCGCCTCAACATGTCCCGACAATCGTAGTCATCCGTTGCATCCTCTTCATCTCTGCACGCCGTTCCACCTCCTTCCTCTACCTCCCCTTCCTCCGTCACCCCCATCCACATCGTCCTCATTCCTCTGGCCTTTCGCGCCTCATGTTATTTCCTTCACCGATCTCCCTCCAGTATCCAAATACTCCTCCTCCGCCTCCATCCTTCTTCCAGCTCGTACGATTGTCTTCCTCATTCATTGTGTTGTCGCGCTATGTCTCTCGTGCTTCTAATGAAGCCACCCGGGAGCCGATGCCAGTTATAAGAAGTTCGATGTTCTACGCCGAGTTTCACCAGTACTGTCGCTCGCGTACGTCGGCGCAGACTGTCCAGGGAGCCTGTGAGGAGTGTTGAGGAGGAACATGAAGAGGAGGGTTAAAGGAAACAACAGAGGGGATAGAGGAAAGAGGAGAGAAGGAGGAGAAGTAGGAGGGGGAATGGTGAGCAGGGATGACGAGGAGAGAGGAAGGAGAGGGCAGACGAGGGGGATAGCGAGGCCGCCCCCCTTTTGTTCCTGTGCCTCCCGCTTGCCCCATTCCCCCGAAGCGCCGAGTCCCCTGCCCCCTTGCCCCGTCGCATCGCTCGGACATGTGCATTTTTTCACGGCGAGAAGCATCGAGGACCATCCTGGACCATCGAGCAAACAAAACACGCGTGAAACCGGAACATGTACGGGACATGGACGTCCGAGCGACGGCAAGGCCCCCTCCTCCCCCCCCGTCCGGTCGCCCCTCTTCCCCTCGCCCCCCCGTCGCCCCCGCCCACCCCCCCAGCCGGGAGGGCGCTGGGCGCCAGTCCGGGAGCCGCCCCCGCACCGTCGCCACACGGTCCCCGCCGCCGCGCGCCGCCCACCTGTATAGGCTGTCTCGCGCCGTCTCGCGCGGGCGGGCGTTCGCAGGCCTCGTGGCCGACGACTCGTGGTGGCGCAGCCCTCGCCCTTCGAGGGCGAGGGCGCGCGGACGAAAGAGCGGCCCTGGAGGAGGGGGAGGAGGAGGGGGAGGAGGATTAGTGTAAACCCAAGAGTCATCAACGATGCTGGGATAAACCCTCCCTCCAAGCTCCCTCTTCATAGGCCCATAGAACGGTTCATGTCCATTGAGGGAACTGTTTCTTTGGAAGACAACCGTTTGAAGACCCTGAAGCATACCAACATATTGTTCTTGGGATTCCAACGCCACGGATCAACCTGACTGTTGCGTCTTGACAGTCCAGAGTCTTGCCAGAACGCCATTCCTGGGATTTCAACACAGCGAGCCAACATAGTTGTTGCACCCGCATAATCCTGAATCCTTTCCGAACATCATTTCGGGCACGTTAATGATGGGAATCCGTGAAATTCTTGCACATGTTGTAAACGAATGTGCGCGGCGCCAAGTCGAGGGCCACATGTTGAAAAGGAACCGCCCTCAATCCGCGAAACTCTTGCAATGTTTTACAATGAGTGTGTGCCGCGCTCAGGCGAGAGCCACATTTTGAAAACCACCCACCCTCAATCCGTGAAACTCTTGCATTTCTGCTATAAACGAATGTGCGCCGCGCTGAGGCGAGAGCCACATGTTGAAAACAATCCGCCCTCAACCAGTGAAACTCTTGCACATGTTTAAAACGTAGAGCGTTTCCAGGGACGCTCGCAGTTTTTCCTCCTTGGCATGTGAAATGACCATGTCGAGGCTGACGGGTTCAGCTGCTGGGTTCGTTGCATTCGCGGCCGCACCTAGGCTGCCGGTCGCTCCGCCGTCACCTCCCGCTCCACTATGCGGGATTTGCTCCCTTTGCACCTCCCCGGCAACTGTCATTGGCAGCTGACCCACGCTGGTCGCGAGCGCCTGTGCCGACGTGAGCGCCTGCCCAACCAAGCCCCGCTGCCGCAGCATGGTCTGTAGACACGCTAACGGCGGTGTAGGTAACGGCGATGCAGGTTTCTGTGTTGTGGGAGCGCGTGGCTCGTGCTTTCCTACAGTTAGCTGTGTCCTTGTCGTTCATGTTGCAACTGTGGGAAAGTGCGGTCTGCGATTTCCTACAGTTTGGTTTCCAACATCACCGTCAGGCAGCAGCGGCGTTAGCGTGACCTTGGATGGTGCTCAGAGCCTCCACGCCGACGTGTAGATTGTTCCGCTTCTCGCGCAACGGTGCCGCCTCGGGAGCGTGCAGCGCGCCGACCTGGCGAGCTCCTGCACCCGTGCGCCGCTGAGCGCCGCCGCGTCCTTCCTCCTGCTCCGCAAGGTCATTCTCCACCTTGATTTAGGTCGGGCATGTCCCTCTACTGTCCAGACATCGTCACAACATAGTCTGGGGACGATGTTCGACGATCTCCGACTATTTTTGAATATATGTGAATCCTTTTATTTGTCGTGCTGGATCCGCCTGTAGGAGGACATGCCCGACCGAAGCCTTCATCGAGCATGCCTGCTCCTCAGCGAGCTGCTCCGTGCGAGCCGCGACCAATTCATGTGACGCGTCAGCCCGTTTCTCCGACGCCTTGAGCCATGGGACGAGAAGCTTGGCGCTGGCCATGCAATTACCTGTTCCTTCTCTGGGCAGAGCTTTCGGTGTACTCGCCCGCTTTGAGACGAACGCCAGCTACCCCTCGACCTCCTCAAGCCTGTTGCGCAGCCGAATATTTCCCCCTTTACAGTGAGACGAATTATCGACTTGTATGGCGTCACCTTGGGGGGGCGGGGCGCTCCACCCAGTTTGCTGTCGTCCGGCAGCTCCCTGACCTTTGCCTCCAATTCAGGGATCCTGGAACGACTCCCTCGGTCATCAGACGCGCCCACCCTCGTGGATACTTGAGCTTGCGGGTGGAAGGCGTCGTCGGCTGCACATCCCCCGCGAATGCCACACTTCTCCAGCCCGCATCGTACACATTTCTTCGCGTGCTCCATGTTCCACCACTGCTTCCCCCTGCGAGCATTTCTACAGCTTTTCAGAACCGCTTGCTCGCGGATTGGGGGTGGCGAACATCTCGTGGGCCACGTGAAACAAAGAGGCCCCGATAAATGTGTATATCTCATCTCAGTGCGACCTTACCTAGGAGTTGGAGCGTTTAAGAAAGCAGCATGAGTAGTAACGGTAAAGCTAAGCTACAGCTAAGCTAGAGCTAAGCTAAAGCTAAGCTACAGCTAAGCTACAGTTAAGCTAACGCTAAGCTAAAGCTACAGCTAAGCTCAAGCTAAGCTAAAGCTAAGGTAAAGCTAAGCTAAAGCTAAGCTACAGTTAAGCTTCAGCTAATCTAAAATTAAGCTAAATCTAAGCTACATCTAAGTCAAATATAAGCTAAAGCTAAAGCTAAGCTAAAGCTAAAGCTATTGTTCAGAGCTAAGATGAAGCTAAGCTAAGCTAAGATGTAATAAGCTGAGCTAAGATGAGATAAGCAACGCTAAGCTAAGGGAACGTCGCTGGGGGAACCGCGGGGCGGATGCTGGGGGAACCGCCCAGGGCGAGTTGCACTGCCCGGCCCTTTAAGCATACCGAGTAAGAACCCTTCTAGGCAGAGCCTAGGTAGGGAACATGGGTATATCCATACACCATCCGACCATCTCTAACGTCTGGCACGGGTCCGATGGAGGAGAGGAGGAGGCGGAGGAGGAGGAGGAGGACGAGGAGGACGAGGAGGAGGAGGACGAGGAGGAACAGGGGAAAAGGGGAAAAAGGCCGCAAGCTCTCGAATTGCATCGTCAGGGTCTGCCTCCGAGTCCGATCGCCTTCTCGTCGCCCCCGGCTCTCTCCTCCCTTCTCCTCCTCCCCGCCATCGCCAGCCCTCACTACCCAAAACAGCTTCCCGTCCTCCCTGCTTCTTCTCCACCTCGCCCTGCCCTTCCCGCGCAGGGCACGGGATATCAGGGCAGAGGAGGCCCCTCTTCCAAACTCATCCTGCCTCCACCTCCCACTCCTCCTCACTCCTCACTCCCTCCTCCCTCCCTACTCCTTCACCCCCTTCTCCTCCGTTCTCCTTGTTTTGTTTCTTCCTCCTCCCCTTTCTCCCTTTTGTTCTTTTGAATCCTCCTCCTCTCCTCCTTTCCCCTTCCCATCCCGAAGGGATGGGGCGGAGGAAAGGGCAGCCGATTCGGATTTAGACTTGCCATGGCAGGGGGAAGTCGTTCCGCTTCGGTTGAGTGTTGTTTTTCAGGGCGTTGGGAAGACGCCCACCCAGACACGTCGATCCAGGAATATTGCAACATTTTATTCGACGTTGGCATTCGCAGTGATTATTGGTGTAGCTCCCCGTCCGTTTCGTTGATCGGCGTCTGATTTGCCCGATACAGTCGGAAGTGTTTGGGGCGTCGGTTCGATATCCCGCCCAGGTGCCATCGGAATGCAGTGCCGCTCACACCTGCGGCCTGCAGAGTTCTCCCGGCAGCCTTCACCAAAGGGCGTTTTTCTGGAGGCGTTGTTGTCCAGCTGTCTACCCCCGTGCGGCACTAGCGCATCGGTTCGCTCTAGCGAGGCGGACCGATGGGGATGAGGACAGGGGGGCATTGTCTTTGGGCATCGACGAAGAAGAACAAGTTGCAGCAGCACGCGTACATGTGCCGCGCGCCAGGGGGGGGGATTCTTGCGCCGATCCAAGGATGCCGCGCAGAACTGCGAAAGTTTGTGTTTGTACCATGGAGGCCCATGCCAAGAAACACCCTGCTTGCCTCCAAGGTGCCCTGGGTTTCTTGGGTTTCGATGGTTTTGCGATGGAAGGTGTGGCGTTCCCGCACCAAAAATCGAAGGACGTCCCGGGGTCTCAGGGTTGGGCCTCTTGTGGAAGGCTTCTTGTGGTCGGGCCCCTACTGTGCACTTCTGCACTGGGTTGGTTTCGTGTGGGAGGTTTCTCGTGGACTGGCCTTCACTGTACACGTGTTGTTCCTGTCCAGCCAGCGCCCCCGCTCCCGCCCCAGGCCCTACCGTTGGCAGGGGGACGACGACCCGCTGTACCAGACGCGCACCCTGTGCGCCCCCCCGCTGCTCGCGCTCCTCCCCAGCGGTCCTCCCTCCTTCTGCGCTCACAGCTGACTGGTAGGTTCAACTCGGGCCTGTCCCTCCACAGGAGGAATACCAAAAAATTGTCAAAACAAATAATCTAGGGACGAGGTTTCGATTGTTTTTGGCCATTTGGGGGATGCCCCTGTGGGAGGACATGCCGGGCCTAATGGGATGCTCTCGTGTCCTGCCGTTCGCGACCCATGTCCTTCACCCGAGACCCGGCCGGCGACCCACCTGCGACCCACCTGAGACCCGCCCGCGACATACCCGCGACCGACCGGGCCCGCGACCCGGCCCGCGACCCCCCCGCGATCCACCCGCGACCCAGCCGCGAGCCAGCCGAGAACCCGCCCGCGACCCACCCGCGACCCACCCGCGACTCACCCGCGACCCGGCCCGCGACCCACCCGCGACCCACCCGCGACCCACCCCGCGACTCAGCCACATTGCTTTAAACGAAAATCGGCGCCTGCGGCGGGCTCGTTGTATCACTTGTAGGAATTAGGCGCCTGCGGCGGGCTTCTGCAGAGCCTCGCAGACTGCCGACGTCTTTGCCGCCGCGGCCGCCGCCCCCTGACTCCTATCCGCAATGCGGGATGCTAGGTACTCGTCCCCTTCGACCATGCACCGAAAACTTCCTGGCGTCGAAGACGGGGATTAGAACTCGGAGTTGATGGATGTCATGCCTTGGGGCCACGGCATCTCCCAGACATGTCATGATCTCATGGGCCCCTCCTTTTTCCGCACGTGTCCCGGCCACGCCTCGACCTTTCCCGTCCTAGCCCCTCCTGCAGTGGAGACCCATGCCAAGAAACACCTTGCTTGCCTCCAGGGTACCCTGGGTTTCTTGTGTGCCGATGTTTTTGCTATTGAAAACGCGACGTTCCCACACCAAAAGTCAACGGTCGCCTTGGGGTCTCAAGGTTGGGTTATGTGTGGAAGGTTTCTTGTGGTCGGGCCCCTATTGTATTCGGCGAGCCCTGCATCGGAAAGTTGCAATCGATCAGAGTGGTCCGAGGCGGGGATTTACACATAAACCGCCGCGCGGCGGGTACGGATGAATTCGGGCCCCAAGGGGGAGGAGGAGGAGAAGGAGGAGGAGGAGGAGGAGAATGAGGAGGAGTAGGAGGAGGAGTGGGAGGAGGTGGTCATCAGAGTGCCATGCCATCGGAATTCCGTGTCAATCGATGAGAAAGCGCCGAGAGAGCGTCGAGCATCGTCGATGTAGCATGTATCCAGCGTCGGTGTGCGTAGATTTAGCGTTGGCCAGCGCAGACGCGCAAGAGCCAGCAGGAATGGCACGGGAGGCTCCCGTGAGTTGCCACAGATCCGACCTGCTCCCCCCCAGGTGGGACGTCATCGAGGTGCCCGAAAACAGGCCGCGGGGTGGGGCGCGCCGGGGCGGGGCGGGCCACTGCCCACCCCCCTCCGCGAGCTGCATGGCGCCGAGCCCTGGAAGGGCGCTGTTGTTGGCATCGCTCGGACGCGATCTTGGACCGCACGGCACCGAACAATGCTCGAGGAATGGACGTCCGAGTGATGGCAAGCGAGTAGGCTTCACCCCCCCCCATTCCTCCTCCTCCTCCTGCTCCTCAGCTACAGCGCAGGGAACGAGAGAAGGGAGAAGCCAATGTGCGGGAAGCGGGAGGCGAAGTCGGAGCCCGACGTCATCAGCAGTTACAGCACTGGGACCAGTGCGTGCGAGAAGGGGAAGGCGAAGCAAGAGCCCGACATCGCCAGCTACAGCGCTGGGAGCAGCGCGTGCGAGAAGGGAGACCCAGGCCAGAAGCCCCTCACGACACGCAGCGGGAGGTGTGAAGCGAAGATGAAGCCCGTCATCATCAACAGCTACAGTGCTGGGATCAGGGCATGCGAGAAGGGAAAGGCGAAGCTGGAGCCCGACGGCTGCGGTATCGAGGAGTGGCGGTTGCAGCTGGAGATCAAGAGGATCCGTGAGGCCAAGGCGGCGCAGGCGGCTGCGCGTGCAGCGCAGGAGGCGGCGGCGGCCGCTGTCGCAGCTCACGGTCGTGGTGGATCGTTTCCTGCAGGTCGATTTGGTGCCTTCCCGAGAGAATGTAGAATGGAGGAACTCTGCCGCAACATGGCCGGCCCCCCGTGCACGGGGGAGACGCCGACGCAGCAAGGGATCAACGTGGGCGAGCTGTTTCGAGACTTCGCCGCGACCACGGCGGAGATGGCCAGTTCCGCCCCGCCTGCGCCCACTGCCGAGGAGCATGTTGGTGCGGATTGCAAGCAGATGTGAAGTTCGTGATTTCGAGCTTCTTGGTATCCTTCCAGTTCGCTGTCGGGGACGGGTTCTTTCGACTACGAGTCTGGAGGCGTGCGTGGAGTGCATCGGCCTCGTGGGGTACATCTTCCTCTGAGTTGCTCGGGCCTCCGACCTCTTTCATGACTTCGTCATTGGTCTCGTCTCGTCTCGTCTCGTCTCGTCTCGTCTCGCCTCCTCCTCCTCCTCCTCCTCCTCCTCCTCCTCCTCCTCCTCCTCCTCCTCCTCATGTTCGACGTCAGTCTGACTTTGAGCGGGGCTCGTAGCGTCGTGCCCCTTCTCCCTCCTCCTTCTCCTCCTCCTCATCCCCCTCGGGGGTAGAATGTCGGATATGGCGCGGGCGCATCGAGCTTGTCCTCCGTTCTTTTCTCCCTCTCTCGTCGCTCTCCTCCCTCTCTTCCCCAGCACACCTCCCCCCCTCCATCTTCCCCACGTCCTCTTCGCTCTTCTCCTCCTCATCCTCACCCTCCCTTGACGCTCCCTGATGAACCACTCGCGGGGTGGGGGGGGGAGGGAAGCCGTCTTTGACTGTACGCTGGAGGGGTTCGAACCCTGAGAGCGAACGGCGGCCACAATGGCAGTCGGAATCAATGCCGATCGGGCGTCGAGTAACGGGAGTGCGATAAATAGGGGGGAGACAGGTTGGCACGAAAGGTGTACGTTCCCCCCCGCCCCCACACCCCATGTATATCCCCTTATGAACTAACGCTCGAGCTGAGGGTGCGGCAATGTAGGGGGCATGAGTGGACAGAAGTAGTAGAACCTCAAAGGCATTACCTATACTGAAATCAATATTGATTTCGGGGGTGGGGGGGTGATTGGAGTCCCCATCAAGCGTGACATGGTTCGGATATATTGCCCATCCACTGGACCACATGCTCGCGTCGTGTCGACTGGCGGCGACCCCGCCGCCAGCGTTGAACGTTGAACGCAGTCGGCGACCCATGATCGGCCCATGGTGAAAGACCGGACGTTTTTGGAAACGGCCGATCGTTCAAGTTTGAAGGATCCCTGCGGTGTCAGGAGCCACAGGCGTGGCCGGCGCGTCACGAGCCTGCCGTAAAGTCGGCCCTGATTAGTAGATCGACCCTTCCAGACTAAGGGTGCTCTTGTGTCCTGAGTCTCGCGACCCACGCCTTCAACATTCCTATGGCAATGTGGCCTTCGGAAGGATCTTGCATCCTTTCGCATGTCCTGCCCAATTTCGGCGGCGAGCGAGGGGGGGAAGTGAGAAGGATAAAGCCATCTCAGAAGACGGCGGGGCTTCTCAGAAGGCCTCTGACCTTCTGAGAGGCTTTCTATGCCTTCGGGGAAGGCTTCGAAAGCTTCGCAATAGGCCAGGGCACTTCCGAGCCTGCTGGGAAGGCTCGCCCCCTCCCACTCCCCCCCGGGCCCGCCGCCGAACCGCCTCCTCCTCCTCCTCCTCCTCCTCCTCCTCCTCCTCTCCTCCTCCTCCTCCTCCTCCTCTCCTACTCCTACTCCTCCTCCTCCTCCTCCCTCCTCCTCCTCCTCTCCTCCTCCTCCTCTCCTCCTCCTCCCTCCCCCCCCCTCCCCCTCCCCCTCCTCCTCCTCCTCCTCCTCCTCCTCCTCCTCCTCCTCCTCCTCCTCCTCCCCTCCTCCTCCTCCTCCTCCTCCTCCTCCTCCTCCTCCTCCTCCTCCTCCTCCTCCTCCTCCTCCTCCTCCTCCTCCTCCTCCTCCTCCTCCTCCTCCTCCTCCTCTCCTCCTCTCCTCCTCCTTCTCCTCCTCCTCCTCCTCCTCCTCCTCCTCCTCCTCCTCCTCCTCCTCATCCTCCTCTGTAGTACCTTGCTGGGTCTGGGCGCGACGGCGTCTCGGGCGTGGCGCCGCCGGCGCCGCGTCCGCCGTGGAAGGCCCGCCCGGCGGCGCCTGGTGCGGACGCCCTCGGGGCGCTGCTCCGCACGTGGGCCCTCGGGCGTGTCTGGGCCGTCGCTCGAGCTGCGCCGGCGCCGCCCTCGGAGCTGATGGGGAAGTTTTCCACCACCACTATACCATATGTAGGTCGGGGGAGAGAGGAGGATGCGGAGGTCCTCCTCCTCCGGTTCCGCCTCCTCCTCCTCCTCCTCCTCCTCCTCCTCCTCCTCCTCCTCCTCCTCCTCCTCCTCCTCCTCCTCCTCCTCCTCCTCCTCCTCCTCCTCCTCCCTCTCCTACATATGGTAGTGGTTTGCTTTGCTTCGCTTCGCGCGGGGCTCTTGAGCGGCAATGCGAAGGCCCTCGGTCGGAGGAGGAAAAGGGACCCACACCGCCCCTCCCCCCTCGTTATCCCTTTTGGGCCTCCTGGGAGGCCCGCGTCGCCACCTCTGGATTCGCCTCGAAATTGAAATTCTTGTCAGAACGCACCCTGGGAGAGGTGTGGGGAGTAGCGGCATCGGTACCCTCTGGTTTCCCCATGATGGGCAATTTGAAGACCCTCAGGCCCGTCGCTCGAGCTGCGCCATCGCCGACCTTTTGGGTTTTGCTCTGCGCGGAGCTCACGCGGAGCTCACGCGGAGCTCTCGAGCAGCAGTGCAAGACCCCAGCTACCTGGGAGCTGCGCGCTGGCCTCGGAAGCGCCGCGCAGGAGTTGCGCAAACGCTTGCGGGCGACGTACTGCGAATGGCTAGGAACTCATTGGTGGGAGACGCTGCGAGTTCCAGCAAGTCGCTGCGGCGCAGCTCTCTCAGGGAGCTATTCCGTGCAAGGGGCAAGACGGCCAGGAGGAATCGTCCCTGCGCGTGGAGGCGATGAAGTGGTCGTTGGCCACGCAGGTGGCGAGGCTGGCAGACCACCCGCTTCGAGAGGAGCTTCTCTGCCCAGGTTGGGATCGGCGGGGACGCCGCTATGCGCTGTCATGGGCCTGGAGGGCACGGGACAAAGGAAGTTGCGGCAGCGGGGTCCGAAGAAGCGCGGCGGCACCAGAGCGCGCGCGGCCCAGCCTCGAAGACTCGAAGAGCCCGCTCCAGATCAGGGCGCGAGCGCCAAGGAGTTCGAGGTGACCCCCCAAAGCACCTGCGCGGGCGGCAGTGCTTGGTGCTGCGGTTACCGCACTGGTTCGCTCTCCGACGTGAGCGAGGGGGCGGGGGGCAAGGATTGGGACGACATCGGTGTATGCTCGCTTCCACGCATTGGCAGTGGCACAGGCCGCCACCAACGCGTCTGCTGCGATCGGAGAGGACCCAAATGGCCAAACGCAGGCATGGCGGCACAATAATGCCCCAACTGGATAGCGCAGGCCTTACGGCCGGTACCGCCGACCTTGAAGGGGGACCACGACAACGACGGCGGCGGCGACGAAGACGACGTTGACCTGGGCCAGAGTCCTCAGGGATGCTTCTTGGGGTCTCTTCGGAAGGCTTTCGGGGCCCTCTGGGGAGGATTTTTGGTGCCTCTTAGGGGCCTCTCGGGGGCCTCTTCAGGCTTCCTGGGAAACTCTTGTTGGCCTCTTGGGGCCTCTTGGTGGCCTCTTGGTGCCTTCTGGGGCCTTCTGGGAGCATCTCGGGGCCGAGGGCTCGAAATGTCCGTTCGGGTCCCCCGTCTGGGCACGCTCTTTGAGCCGTCTTGGGGGCCTCTTGGGCCGCCTTGGAGATTTTGTTGGCTGTCTTGCGGTCCTCTTGGGCTATTTCGGGGCCCTCTTGGGGACCACTTGGGCTGTCTTGGGGCGATCGTGGGGGCCTCTTGGGCCGTCTTAGAGCGGCGGGAAGTGGAAAAGACGAGAACCCCCAACTCCTAACTCCCAAATCCTTTCAGTCGGGGCCCTGAAGAAGGAACCCTTTTCGTTGGGGAGGGGCTCGGTGTTCCTTGATTGTTCTGCAGTTTGCCTTCTGTTTTCCTGAGGTTTTCCATGGGAAATCGAAGCTCAACTTATGGGAGGAAGGGGCCCCGTTCCTTATTTAGGGTTCCTTAGGTCAACGCCCCGACTGTATTGCCTCTTGGGGCCCTTTCGGGAGTGACCTTGGAGGCTTCTTGCGGCGGCTTGGAGGCTTCCTGGGCAGTCAGGAGGACGTGAAGGCGTTTTGGACCGATCGTTTGGCGATTGGGGGCCCGCTTGGACCGTCTCGGGGGCCTCTTGGGGCACTCTTGGTCTGTCTTGGTATTTTCTGGGGCCCCAGGACCCCTGGGGGGGAATGCGTATCTGACACACCCCCCGGGACCCCCCCCCCGACCCCATCGACACGGGGGAGAGATCAAATGGAATGGGTTTCTCTATCACGACATTGCTAGATGTTTCTCTCGTTGACGGGCTTGAGGAGGAGGAGGAGGAGGAGGAGGGAGGGAAAGGGGACAACGGAGACGACGAGAGTGCGGGTCCGAGGGTCGAAAAGTTTCCCCCGAATTCATCCAGGGCGCATGCTGGCCAGAATTTCGAAGCGAATCCAGCCGTGGCGACAGGGAGACCAAGACGAGCCCGCTAACGCCCACAACCTTCGAGCCTCGGACCTCGAAGGGATCCGGAGGGACCCGCCAAAGGGCGCCTTTGGCCAAAAATTAGAAGCGAATCCAGTCGTGGCAACGTGGAGCTTCCCAGAGGCCCACCGCAGGTTGACCACGCCCCAAATCTCGATCCTCGAATCGCGATGGAGAGGAGATCGAGGCGCAAAATCTGATGGGGCCGGAGGATCTCGCCGCATCGCCGATGCACCGGCGATATGGCGTGATTTGGAATCCGATCGGCTCCAGCCTGGCATCGCCGATTCGTCCCGCGATCCGCAACCTCTCATGGAGAAGGGGCCAAGGAAAGGCAGGGGCCACCCTGCGGCTCGAATCGCAGCGCCCCTGTGGGCGGTGCTGCGGCCTCCACTGAGCACAGCCCCCCCGCCCGCCCGGAGCAGCAGCCACGCACGTCGGGTTTGCACCCTCTTGCCCAGATGGAGGAGAGCAGGGATAGGGAGAGAAGAAAACACATAGAAAGAGAGAGAGAGAGAGAGAAAACAAAAAACATAGAGAGAGAGAGAGAGAGGGAGAGAGAGAGAGAGAGAGAGAAAAAAGAAAAGAGGGAGCGGGAGGGGGGAGAGGGAGACGGAGAGAGGCAAGGGGAGGAGAGGAAGAATCGAGAGCGAGACGGACAGAGGCAAGAGGAGGAGAGGAAGAGGGGGAGGGAGAGGGAAAGCGGAGAGGGAAGAGGAGGGAATGAAGAGGGAGGAGGAGGAGGAAAAGGACGACGAGGCGGAGGAGGAGGAGAGGAAGGATGGAGGGGAAGGATGGCGAGGAACAGCGAGGCAAGGGTAGGGAGGCAAGGTGCAAGAGGAGGAGAGGGCGAAACAGAAAGAGGAGAAGAGGCGCCAGCCCCGCGCGAAGCGCCGAGGCCCACCCCCCCCACCCCCCGCTGGGGCGAGGCCGGAGTCGAGCTCGCCCTCGCGGACGCGGCCGCGCTCGGCGCAGCAGGCCCAGAATGCGGTGGGGTCCTCTTGCCGCGCCTGCTCTTCCTGCGTCGTCCTCCTGCCGCTCCTGCTGCTGCTCCTCCTCCTCCTGCTTCTCCTCCTCCTCCTCCTCCTCCTGCTCCCTCCTCCTCATCTTTCTCTTCGTCCTCCCCCTCCCTCCACCCACTCGAATAGGAGGGGTCGCCGCTGTTTGGCCCAAGCGTCGTTGCCATCTGTATATCGTACGGAGAATAAAACAGTACGTTCAACATCTTATTGCCGCCATGCCTTCTCTCGTACAGCTTCCAATTCCCGTAGTTCTAGTTGGTAACGGAGCTGCGAGCGATCCCAGCTTGCGATCCACCGAACGTGCGAGGAGTGCGGTGCGGACCCACATGCGCAGTTACCTTCATTACCGCATCGGTACCACCTTCCGCTCTTTGAGCAGCCCGTGATTTGTGGCGGTTCTGCAAGCGAACTGGCAACTCGCATC